CATGATCCAAATCTTGGTACAAAGTGCACTTCGTAGTGTTCTGTTGCCAGGAACGGTGGAGGGGGGCCTGACATTTCACAAAGCAGGCAATCTGCGGGCACCTCCGCCGTCCACGTCAAACATCGATTTGAAGTGTTCGCGGGCCGTCCGCGCATGAGCCAGACTGTGATGCAACGTGTAAGTTGCTTTGTTCTCCGACATGGGTGGTGGTGGGGTGCTGGCATGGTCCTGGATTTGTCGCTGGTCGGGTGGGGGAGGGTGTGTACACCAATAAAGAGCAATGATGAATCCCTCCCCGAAGGGGAAGAAGGGGGGTCGAAGAGCAAGCTTGCCAAACCAACTCCGCCCGGAGGGCTGGCGGGATCTCAAGAAGTGGGGCCTGGAGTTCTGCCCGTGATCATGTGCATTTGTCGCTGATCTTCGCATCGACGCAGCACCCCGCGCCCTTCACTTTGTTCCCTGGGGAAACCAAAGGGTACCGATACCGATACTTCCCGGGCCTCTTCTGGGGTGCTTTCTGACCAGGGTTTCGAAGCGAATCAAGCTGTGGCGATGAGGGCCTCCCAGGAGGCCCACAAAGGAGGACACGAGGGAAGGGTAGCAGTATGGGTAACTGTTCCTCCTCGGACTCTCGCCGTGGCAGCTTTGTCCTGCGCTCGTTACTCCTGACCCCTCGCCCTTGGGATCCAGGTTTGGGGCTTATCCAAAACTGTGCTGGCCAGCGTGGGCAGAGAAGCGCAGCCTTCCGCCCTCCGTGGCCCAGACGGAGGAGAATGAGGTGGTGGAGGGGGAGGTGTTGGAAGAGGAGGAGGAGGAGGAAGAGAAGGAAGAGGAGGAGGAGGAGGAGCAAGATGAGGAAAGGGGAGGTGGAGAAGGAGGAGCTGGAGGAGGAGGAGGAGGAGGAGGAGGAGGAGGAGGAGGAGGAGGATGCGGAGAAGGAGGAGATCAAGCGATCGGGTGGAAGGGTGCGGGAGGGAAGAAGACGGAGGAGGAGGAGGCGGAGGAGAAGGAAGAGGAAGAGGAAGAGGAGGAGAGGAGGAGAAGGAGGAGGAGGAGGCCTCTCCGTGATCAACACTCCTCCCGAATCGGAGGAGGAGGGTCCTGGGTCGAGCTGTTGTTCCTGGGACCCCCCCCAGGAGCGGTTTCGACATTGGCGTCTCTGCGCGCACTTGGGAGGGGAGAAGGGGTGGTCTCGACATTTGGGGTGTCTGCAGGGGGAGCATTGGCGTCTTCCCCCACACACCTTCAGTTGCCTGCCCCGCTTGGCGGAGTGTCGTTGCCGTGCCTGTCCCCGCTAAAAGGAACATTGTCAATGCCAGGATTTGTGACTTGTTCAGCCTGTTGGTGATCCCCTCGGAGTTCAGGGCTCCCTTATCCCAAGTCTGAAGACCTATGACGCACAGGGGGCCCAGAGCAGCTTCATGCATCTTCGCCCCTAGACTTGTATCGCGTTTCAGCTCCCATGTCCATCCGAAATCTTCATTTCACCTTCTCCCTGGGCATCGGGGCCAAGTGTGTGCCAGAAAACATGGCCGTAAGGAAAGACCACCCGCTTGGCCCTGTGAAACTTATTCTCGGTGCAGCGCAAACGGTCAGACAACTTTCCACATAAGCAAACATACCCAGCAGAACTGTTTGGAGAAAGAAGATGGCAGACCGCAGCCTCACCTCTTTCAACATTACCTTCATGACGACCTTCTGTCAGCATACGCTTGGTCATACACGTGTCGTACAAGAACCCAGGCCTCCGTCAGGGCATGGACTTCGGATTATAAGAGCAGATTTGGCAAGCTCAGGAAAGGCATGCGGACGCGTACGTGCCCGATAAATCTTCGACGTTACGTTGGTTGGTAGCTTGCCTTGTAGAACAACTCTGCCAACAACGTCCATATTGATGCTTTCGATCGTTAGCCAATGATGTAGTCCATGGTCCGGGCACTGTGGCCGACCAGTCCCTGGCACGAAGCCCTCCTGTTTCCACAAACGACAGAGCATGCCAAGCGCCCGCACTTCGTCACACGAGGAGCAAGCTAATCCGAGTGATATTGCGAGCAAGGCGAAGTGCTGACGTGTTCATTCATCACCCCATCTTCAGGTCGACGAAAGTCATTGGAGCCCACACGCCTCAGGGGGCACGACGGAAAATAGAATGCTGGATTTCTCAGTTGTGCCAACAGGTCCAACGACAACCCTCTCTCCATAACAAAATCCGATGATCCATCCATCGAAGAACACGGGCATGGTGATGGAACTTGTCACTCAATCCAGCCGACAGTGATGATGGGAATTGGTGCTCACACATAGCAGCAAAGAGGTGTACCATCCCGCTGGAACCAGGACTTCCTTGGCTGAATCCTTCCAGGAACGTGGTAGCAACAGAGAAAGCCATGAACCAACCAAATGCCCAATTGTACACAGTTATTCAAAAGGCTTGCGCCATTTTGCCGACCCCGAAGAAAAGTGTTGACAGACTGGCTGGAATGAAAGCAGGTGGAGAGAAGGACGTGGAGGGGGAGGAGGGCGAGGAGTAGAACGGGGCCTCTTGGGGCATCTGGAGAAATTTGTGGGGTTGCTGAGGGGCCTCTTGGGCGTCTCTTGAAGGCCTCTCAGGGACGCCTCGGGAAATTCGGGGGAGCTCTTGGGGCCATCTTGCGGCCAAAGGTTCGCATACCGGTTCGTCATCCAAGGATTGGGCCCCTCTCGGGGTGTCTCTGTGCCTCTGGGGCGATGCTGGGCGGCTTCTAGGCCGTCTTAGGGCCCTGTTGGGCCGACTTGGGGCCCTCTCGGGGCCTCATTCTCCGTCTGGTTGCGACCCATGGAACCTTTCGGGATATCTTGCATGAAACGATTTTGCTTCTTGGGGCCTTCCTCGGCGGTCCTTTGGGGAAACATGTGGGCATTCTTTGAAGTCGTAGGGCTTGTCGGAGGCTCCGGAGGCGCTGGGGGTCCGTTGACGAGCTCGTCCCCCCACCCCCTCTCTTGAACGGGATTTGGGGCCCTGGGGGACGGGGAGGGGGAAAGGTGGAGGGGGCACAGCTAAATGTATCACACGCCTATTTTACCCGCCGCACGCGTGGGCCGGCGGATGCTTGGAATGTCATTGACAGCCAGACGGTAATGCGATCGCTTGCGCAACGGTCCTGCTGATGAGACCGTGGTGGCGGAAGCTCTCAGCCGAAGCGTTCTCCAAACATGCGGCCCAGCCTTGCCCGAGTAAAGCCAACACGTGCGACCGTGAATGCAGCAAGGTGGATCTCGTGGCACGCACGCATGTGAAATCATGTCCAGTTTCCTCGCCGATCTTATGTACAGACCAGAAAACAGCCTCCATCACAGCAGTCCTCGGAGCCCTATGGGAAAAAATATTCTAATGCCGTCCGTATCTGGCGCATCGATGGCACTGCGTCAAGCTAGTTGAGGAAAGGTGTCGTGCTCCGCAAGTTCGGGGCCGACATTGCTGACAAGCTTGTGGCAACTTGAAGCTGAAAGGACTGTACGCTTTACAGTCATAGCTAAGCACATTCTGCCAATGATGCCGACGTGAAGACACCAGTAGGCGCATTCGCATGCCATCCCGATAATCCTACCATGGGAAGAATTATTTTGTCTTCACTTGATAAGACAATCGCTCAAACTCGTGCTTATCTCCTTTGCGCAAATGGCAAAAGGACAAATACTCACGGCGATTCGACCAGGGGGAGGGGGTGAGGGGGTTAAGGGGACTTGTAAACCCCTCCCCGAAGCGGAAGAAGGGGGGCTGGAAGAGGAAACACTTTAAACCATTCACGCCCAGAGGGCTGGTGGGACTCGACCTCGTCTCCATCCGCGCGGTAGGCAAGAAGTCGAGCTCACACCACGGGGCCGTCCAGCGAGTGGTCTGTATTAGGGACGAGGACGAGGAGGAGAAAGGTTCTCCGGACCCTCTTCGGGCCTCTTAGGGTGGGGGCTCTCGGAGCTTCCTGGGGGAGCCTTTTGGGTGCATCTTGGAGGCCTTCTGAGACCGTCTTGGGACCTCTTGGTGCTTCTTGGGCTGTCTTGGGGACTTTTGGTCCGCCTGACGCTTTCGAATGCCGTCTTTGGGGGCCTCTCTGAGCCGTCTTGGTGCCCTCTTAGAGCGCTCCAGGGCCGTCTTGAGGCCCTCTTGGGACCCTCTTCGGCGATCTTGGAGTTCTCTTGGGCTGACTCGGGGACCTCTTGGGGGCCTCGTGAACTGTCTTAGAGCTATCCTGGGAGACGTCTCAGGCGGTCGGAACCCAAGTAGGCGAGAACCTCAAACTTCTTCAATCATCAACTGTCAATCTAAAATTTCCATTTGGCCTCTTCGGGTTCTCCTGGAGGGTCTCTTGGGGCCTTCTTGGGCCGTCCTGGGATCCTCTCGGGCCGTCTTACGGCTGTCTTCAGGGCCTTTTGAGCCGTCGTGGGCCATTTAGAGCCGTTTTGGTGTCATCTTGGCTATCTACGAAGCCGTCCTGGAAGCCAGATTGGCCGTTTTGAGGCCGACGAGACCGCGAGAGCGCAATTTCAGAGGGGATGATGTTCGAACGACGCGCGGGCGAGGGGAGGGGTCGGCCTTATTTCATAACCTTACAAAACCTCCAGACCACCGATCAGCCTTCTAACGCGCCCACTCCGTGCAGGCACGGTGGCGGATCCTTCAACATGACCCTAATTACGACCTTCCGTCAGCACACGCTTAGACTTGGGGAAACATCTTAAAGCGTCTTTTCGGTGCCACTTCAGTATGCTCCTTCCTCTCCCCTCATCGGCTTTATTTTTCGGCGGCGCTCGGGGGTGGGATCCGAGAGGGAGAAGGCCTTCTCAGAAGGCTGCGGGGCTTCTCAGAAGACCCCCCGCCCGTCTGAGAAGTGCTCTGCGTCTTCGGGGAAGGCTTAGACCACTCCTCGCAGGGCCAGAGGGCCTCGAGCCTTCTGAGAAAGTCCGCCCCCTCTCACATCCCTCCCTCTTCGACTTCCGCCAGCCACCCTTGCGGTTGCTGCGAGGACCCGAGGATCTCCGCCCGCCACCTGCGCATCTGCTGGTCTGGAGGAGGCCGCGCTGCCTGCTTGGCGGTGCCTCTCACTCCCCCCCTCCTCCCGGGTTTTTGTTGTGTGATGCAGGGAGGCGATCGCTGCGGGAGTGGGTTCGAGCGGATTGGTTCAGGTCGGGGAAAGAAGCCGAGACGACACACCCACGTGATATGCATGGCGGACTTTTCGCTCGCAGTTTGCTGGCAGAAGTCCACATCTACAGTTTCAGCGTGGCCCGTCTGCAAGACCAGAGCCACGAGCACGGCGGTCAGGTTGCGATTCCTGGGGGGATGAGCTCGGCATCGGCGGTGGTACATCCGTCTCCGAAGCCGAGCCTGAGCCCGCATGCTCCCGTGTACTTCAGCTTAGTCCCGTGCTGACGGTGGGGAACTTCTGGACAGCCTGTCGCTCCGCCAGCTTTGGCCCATCACGCTTCGGCGCGACCTTCTATGCACGGCCCAGTCGCCCTGCGTCAAAAGTCCCGGGCCTTCCCGATCATCCCGCCCCGCGGAGCGGAGCGACACGCTATCCGTTCGCAGGGCATGCTGTGTCGCCGGGGCTGCTGCCGCGAAACGTTATCCAAGAGTTCCCGACCGTATGATGCATTCTTGTGAGCTAAATTCAGCATCGACGGTGGTAGATCTGTGGTCGAAGCCGGGCCTGATTCGGCACTCTCCCGGTCAATTCAGCGAAGTCCCGCGCTCAATCCGAACGAATCGGGTTGACTATTGGGGGTAGTCCAGACTACGCCTGCTTCATGCCGCCTTAATCCGGCCTGACAGCCTTTCTTTTGGCACGCCTGGAATGGGTACGGAAGACTTGGGTACGATGCCCCACAGCGAATGTTGCCTTGAACCAATATCAAGCAGTGGCGAATCGTCCTGGCGTGCCTATAGCCCTACCACACAATGTTCTAAGAACCTTTTCTGGTTCCTACGACATGCTCTTAGAACATTTCTGGCTGGGACTGCCCTCTTTTTTTACACATCGGGTTTATGTTCTAAGAACATTGTTTTTGTTCTTAGAGCATTCTTGGGTTCTAAAACATTTCGTGGTAGGACCATAGGAATGCCGGGACGCTCGGTCCCTGCTCAACAATCGCGGCCGCCGTTGGGCAGGTGGCCTGGCGTCTCACTTGGATCACGTCCGCGGCGACCCCGACAGAGAGTCCATCCCAACATGAGCAGGAACTGCTATCGGTCTTCGTCACCATTCTTTCCGCACCCATCTCCATCCTCCAGGAGAGCGTTTTTCTTATTAGTTCCGGGGGGGAGGGTCAGGGGCGAGGGGGCTGACAACATCACGATTCGCGCCGGCGCCGTTGGGGATTGTGCTACGGCGATATCAATTCCTAAACAGCGCGCCGGCGCGAGCCGTGATGTCACCTTGTGGGGTCGGGCAGGGGGAGCATCCCTGGTAACGGCTATTCTTCGGGAGACGAACAATTACATAAGCATAAATCTTCGGAGGTCAGCGCGGATTCCTCGGATCGGCGTTGGGCACCCCTGGCGCCGCCCCTGGCGCCGCCCCTGGCGCGCTCTGCGAGCCAGGGAGCAGCGCCGATCCGAGGACTCCGCGCGAACCTCAGAGTCCCGTGTGCTACGCCATTCTTTGGTCCCCGGAGGCGGGGGGGGGGGAGCATCCCCGCCCGATCACGGCCGTGAGCGCAAACTCGTGAAGCCACGCGCTCCAGACTCTTTCAAGGGCCCTCTCCAGGAGCTGCCTCCCGAGAGGGCGGGCGGCGGGGCGGGTGGAGGAGGAGGAGGAGGAGGAGGAGGAGGAGGAGGAGGAGGAGGAGGAGGAGGAGGAGGAGGAGGAGGAGCGGAGGAGGAGGAGGAGGAGGAGGAGGGGGAGGAGGAGGAGGAGGAGGAGGAGGGGGAGGCGGCGGAGAGCCGGGCGCCGTCGGGCCTCGCGCGCGCGGCGGGCTGGGGGCCTGGAGTCGCCCCCCCCGCGGGCGGCTCGCGTGCGGCCGGCCTGTGCTCGGAATGCATGCGGCATGCGTACTGCGCAGAGGGGGCAGGGGGGAGGGGGGGTGCCTCTTCTTGGAAGACGTGGGCCTTCTCGTAAGGGCCATACAGTCGGGGCCCTGAAGAAGGAACCCTTTTCGTTGGGGAGGGGCTCCGCGTTCCGTAAGTGATTCACAGCTTGCCTCAGGCTTTCTTTATGTTTTCGACAGGAAATCGCAGGTTAACTTATGGAAAAAATGGGCCTCGTTCCTTATTTAGGGTTCCTCAGGTCAACGCCCCGACTGTATCTATAGAGATGTAAGGCCGGCGCCTTCTAAGAAGCAGCCTCCTTCTAAGAAGCCCTCCCCCCGTCCCTCCACTCCCTTGTGCGCGCCGCCAAGTCGAGTCATGAAAAGATCACGGCCGAAGGTGTTTCGCTATGTTCGGCCTCTCAGGGTCCTTGTTGGCCTCGGGGCCGTCAAGCCACGACTCAGGGCGAAAAAACAAAGTCGAGACTTCTGGGGTCGACGCAATGAAAAGTTATGATGTTTGGGGCCTGGGAAGTGCACGGGCACCACCGCCCATGCCGTCGAATCGTGAAGATGGCGATCGGGAAGTCAAAAGCAGCACATTTGCCGACGGCGGACTATGGGCGTCACGGCGGTGCCTGCCCTATCATGGCAGGTGATCGGAGGCGTCGATCAGAACGAAGATCTCCTTGGCAAATGTTGCCTGTCACCAGATCACTGCGCCCCTCTTGAGCAAGTATTCCTTTCTATCTGCCACGGTCTCACAAACTGATGGCGCAGGGCCCGACTTTTCCTTGGCGCAGGGCCCGACTTGTCCTTGGCGTTGTCCGACAATCGAAGGGCAGTTTCGGAAGCAATTGCTGGGAGTGCAAATTCTGACGTTGCCCTGATCCGAAATCCGGTTTCACTCGGCTTAGTCCTGGCCAACTCGCTTCAATTCCGCTTGATCCAGCCCAGTCCTGCTTGATCCGCGGCCTAACCCGGCGTAGCAGCCCCTCCATGGGTCTCGGTTCTCCCCGGTCTTTCCAAAAGAGGAGGAGGAGGAGGAGGAGGAGGAGGAGGAGGAGGAGGAGGAGGAGGAGGAGGAGGAGGAGGAGGAGGAGGAGGGGGGGGGGAAGAGGGAGGAGAGGAGGAGGAGGAGTAGGAGGAGGAGGAGGAAGAAGACCTCCCACCAGCTGCCTCCCACGAGAAGACCTTGCGCTCCCGCCCCACGGGGACCAACAGCGCTCGAGCCGCGCCCCGCAGGGGGGCTCTCCTTTGGGAGGCCTCCTCTCGACCCCCCCAAAGGATGACGACGGGCCCGCCGCCGCCGTGCCCCTCGGCCGCCAGGGGGCCTTCCGACGAGGGGGGCGGGGGGGGAGGCGGTGCTCCCGCCCGCACCACTTTGGGGCATCATTGGCTGCCCGCGCCCCGCTCCTCGCAGAGCCCCGAATCTCGGGGGCGGAAGAGAGGGGGGTGATGACCAGGGGGGGGGTGGATATCACGGCGTGGGCCCTGGTGTTTCCCCAGATTTCATGGCGCCGCTTCTTATTTCATTAGGTCCCTGGCCCCCCCGCTGGTGCGCGCACATGCCGACGGTCATGATTTGCACCCCCCCCTCTTGGACACCCCCCTCTTGGCCGCTCCCGAGAATCAGCAGGAGCAGCTCGCGTCAGGGCTAATTCGGGCTCGTTTTTTCGGGGATCCAGGCCCGAGTTGCCCCGGGCCCGAGTTGCCCCGGACGTTTCGGGCGCCCAACCCTGCTCGGGCGCGGGAATGGGTGTCGGCGGCGCGCCCGGGAGGGGAAGGGAGAAGGGGCGGGCCTTCCGAGAAGCCTCGGAAGTCCCCCAGCCTCCTGAGAAGTGTTCTCTAAGTTTCCCCCGAAGGCACAGGCAGCATTTCAGAAGGCGCGAGGCCTCCTGAGACGTCGCGCGCCCTCTGCGGAGGCCTTCTCCTTCTCACTTCCCCCCTCGCTCGCCGCCGACATTTGTCAGGGCAGCGCCTTTCTTGGATGCTTCTGGCCCCCTCTATGTTCCCCCCGCCGCTCCCCTATCATTGCCGTTACCCTTCTCCCTCCCATGTCCCTCTCTCGCCCGCCACGAAATGAATTGGGGTACTCCCCAGCAAACCGGGCAGCCGTCGCGAGTGTGTGTGTGTGTGTTTGTAATTATATATTAGGGGTCCTTTTTGATGGCCCTGGGGCCGAATAGGTATGACTTGGGACAGAGAGCCCGTCCGAGAGACGGGATCACAAGCGTTTTCGGGGCGGGCGGCTCAGAAAAAGTGAGACTGCCCCGAAAAGGATGGGGAACCCTGGGATGCACCCCAGAAGGGGGCTAGTCGGACGCAAACCCCGTCGAGGATGGGCGCCCCCCCCATCGTGGATCCCAAGGTTGGGCCCCCAATTCCTGGCCCATTTCGACAGCCCCACGGAGCGTGGGGCAGGGGTCGGCATGTCCCAGGAGGGAAAACAGCACACAGGCACAACTCATCGTCGATGCCCCCGCGAGTATGGGAACACATATGGGAAGTGGGGGGGGGGAGGGGAAACACCCAGAACACGTGGGGAAATATGGGGGAATCCTGCTATTTGTGTGTGTGTACTTGGTTGTGTGTCCCAGGGCCCCTGCAGTGTCCCCTGCTCTTCCTGCGAGGCAGGAGGAGTGGCACGGGAGAGGGGTGGGGGCAGGCAGGGCGGGAGCGCCGGGGCCCTCCGGAGGCAGGGCAGTGAGGGCCTCCCAGAGGCGTGCCGTGTGCTGTCAGGGGCGCTGCGGGCAGCTCCTCCTCCTCACTCCTCCTCCTCCTCCTCCCTCCTCCTCCTCCTCCTCCTCCCTCCTCTCCTCCTCCTCCTCCCTCCTCCTGGCTCCTCCTCCTCTTCTCCTCCCTCCGCCTCCTGCTTCTCCTGCTCTCCTCCTCTCCCTCCTCCTCCCTCCTCCTCCTCCCTCCTCCTCCTCCTCCTCCTCCTCCTCCTCCTCCTCCTCCTCCTCCTCTCCTCCTCTGCTCCTCCTCCTCCTCCTGCTCCTCCTCCTTCTCCTCCTCCTCCGCCTCCTCCCCTCCCTCCCCTCCTCCTCCTCCCTCCTTCTCCTCCTGCCCTCCCTCCTCTCCTAATCCTCCCCTCCTCCTCCTCCTCCCTTCCTCCTCCTCCTCCTCTTCCTCCTCCTCCTCCTCCTCCTCCTCCTCCTCCTCCTCCTGTGCGCCCTCGCTGCCAGGCGGGCACCTCTCACTCGCAGTCGGACCGGGGCATAAGATCGAGGTCGTTTCGGGGAGGGTACCGTGTTCGTAGTGCTTGTTGTTGGATGTTGTTGTGCACCCTGGGGAGGGTGCCCTTGGATGCTCTGTGCGTTTGGCCAGCGGAGGGTCTCGTGATCGTGAGGGGTACTCTTCTGTCCTAGGTTCGACTGTAGAAGGGGTCTCCGAGAGCCTGGCCGCCCCGTCGTAGCATTCGGAAACCTTATTCTCGGCTGCTACTCTGGCAGTTGTTTTTGCCTCCTGGTCCACGGCTTGCACACGCGTGAAAGTATCGACTCTCGCTTCTGGGAAGGGTCTCGCAGGAGTTCCTGGTCATAGACTCGCCACTCAGTAGCAATCGCATTGCCCCTCGGCGGGCCTCGGGGTACATATTGTGCTGGGTCGGGGAGCGACTGCTCCGCGAGCCTCCCCCTCCTCCTCCCCCCTACCCCTTCTCATGGCAGTCGCAGTTCTCCTAATTGTCCTCATTCTTCGTCTATGCAGTTGCAGTCGCCTGTGTCTATCGAGAGGCAAGCCGTGCTACTTCCTGGAGCAGCTGGGCTCCAACGGCAGCTTCGTCAACGACCACCACATGAAAAAGGCCTCCGATGCTCCAACGTAGCGCCTCGAGAGCGAGCGGTGCTGGATCACTTCCTTTGTCGTGCTGTTCGCCATGGCGGCTCGTCCCTGCGTTAAGCACGTGGCCCGCGGAAAGTTGGTGTTTCTTCCACCTGGTGCAACTTCTAAACTGCTTCTCTGAGCGTGCTCATCTTCTCTGTGCAGGCAGGGTCGTTATCTGGGATGGTTGCACGTTGGTGTGCATCATTGGCCGTAAACTCGCCGTCAAAGGATTCGCGTTATCGGTGGAACACTTCGAAGAGGACATGGGGCCTGCGTTGGGAGGTTATGTCTTAGGCCGCGTTGCACGCTCTGAGATCGAGTATGCAGAAGTCACATGGTCCTTCATTGAGTCTGGCTTCCATCTGGGCTGGCCCCCACGGCCTCCGACGACGGCCCAAGAGGCCCCCAGGAGAGCCCCAGAACAGCTCATTGTGGCCATCGAGGGTACCCAAGACTTGTGGTCGTCTCTTCCGTGGCCATGTTGGCTCAAGGCCACGTTTGGTCAAGCCGTGTTTGCTAGAGGCAGGGTTTGTCCGAGGCGGCGGACGGCCGCAGGCCTGGAAACTGGGGCGCGCGCGGCCGACATGGCCGAGCTCACCGGAGCGCAGCTGCAGCGGACCTGTGCGCCACTGTATCCGTCCTTCGCACTTGAGTCTTTTGCCGCCCTGGTCCTGTTCTTCTTCTTTCTCTACCTGTCAATCATCATCTCGACCAGGCAGCAGCTCAAGACGCCGGCAAAGTCGATAGCCAAGTTGATCTGGCACAGCCTCACGGGTTGGTGGGAGGACACGGTCAGAGTGCTCAGCAGGTGGAGTGAGATGGGCGAGATGTCGATGCCCAAGCGATTACGCTTCTGCCGGAGGTTGAACGCGACGATTTGCCGGTCGCAGGCCGTCATCGCGCTCTTGGCCGTGACCCGCTGGCTGCACATCAACAACGTCAACGGCTTCCGGTACCTGGGCTACGCCTTCACTTGCCCCTTGATGCAGGCCGAGCTCATCCTGATCATCGCGCCGATCGTGCCGTGCTACAGGATGGTGACGCAGATGACTGCCATTATTACTTTCCTGATGCTGCTGTCTGGGTATATCGCGTCCCAGTTTGATGGGAAGCTGTGGGAGGGCGACCTCGTCCTCGACAGGAACCTCAGCTTCCTCACCACTAAAGGCTGGGTAACGCTCCCGAGCATGGTCATCCTGCTCTTCCTCTCCTTCGTTCAGATCCCCGTCCTAGGCCTGCTGTACTGCTGGAATGGCGGTGGCCGCGACGGCAGATTCCCGGCCGGTTACCTGACGCTCTTGGCGATCACGTCCGTCACGTGGCTCCTCTTCCCCATCTGGTGGTTTCTGTCCTTTGAGGGCGAGGGCTACATCCAGGACACCAAACTCAACGGCGCTGGCTTCGCTCTCCTCAACATGACCAGCAAGGGTGCGTTCACGATGCAGATGCTGTCCATGGTCAAGCGGTGGAAGCGCGACTTCGGGCCGAGCAGCTTTGGGCGGCAGACCTCGGTAGACTCCGCCGTTGCGGACCTCCAGAATCTCTCGCCTCGCAGCAACAAAACCGAGAAGTCTGCGGACTGGATCATCAATGGCCTGAAGACGTTCGATCAGGGCAGCGATAATTCGCTGGATCGGGTCCCAGGTCTGGGCCCCGAGGCGCAGGCGCCGCCACCACCCGAGAAGACGATTGTCCTCGACACGACTTGCCTGAGCGATGAGGTGCTTGTCTCGGAGCTGGCGAGGAGGATCAACCTGAGCAGCGTGGGCAACACCGACCACATCGTCGGCAAGCCCCTCGACCCCCAGGAGCTCTTCAAGCAGGCGCTGGACAAAGAGATAGCCATGGCGTGCTCGAAGTTCGCCTGTGAGGACGATGATGAGGACGACGAGGAATGAGAAGGCGGTCGGTCACACCTCGGGGCTCCGTTTGGCCAGGAACGCCACAGCGACCTTGGTCGAGCCAGAAAAGTGGATTCGTACCCCCAGAGACCTCTTGCAAGAGATGACAGACAGACAGAGATAACTAGACAGGCGAAGGCCGTGCGTGAATGTCGCAACGGTTGTACGTCACTGTGCGCAGGAATCCAGCCACGCTGCCCCGCAGACCCGCCACCGCGCCGAAAGTTGTCAACGGTGCACTGGTGGGTTCATTTTTTCTGGTGGCGCGGTCATTTAGGCCATGGCTGATCTTCCGGCAACGTCCGGATGTGAGCGCACCGCGTGCATAAAGTTGTTTACGATTTGCGTCGTCACGGCTACGGTTTCATTTTTAACGCGTGAGTGCGATCTCTTGTTTGTAGTTGAGTCCCATCTGGTTCAAACAGCACTTAGACTTTGATTCGGACAGTGGCTGACCTTCTGGCAGTCGTGTGATCAATCGAGTCTCGTTTTTGCATCGTTGATGCCTTGAGAGGAAGAGCAAACAAAAAAGACTTGTGGTCGTCTCTTGGGAGGCTCCTGGGGGAGGTTGGAGTCGGTTGCGTGTCTAGCATCCTTGAGGCTCACACGGGACATGCCGGAAGCACCCACGAGGGGCCGCCAGCGCCCAAGGGTTCCGGCGAGTTGGTCCGTGGCCAGTTTGGATCAAGGCCTTGCCTTCGTCCCAAGACTTGTGGTCGTCTCTTCCGTGGCCATGTTGGCTCAAGGCCACGTTTGGTCAAGCCGTGTTTGCTAGAGGCAGGGTTTGTCCGAGGCGGCGGACGGCCGCAGGCCTGGAAACTGGGGCGCGCGCGGCCGACATGGCCGAGCTCACCGGAGCGCAGCTGCAGCGGACCTGTGCGCCACTGTATCCGTCCTTCGCACTTGAGTCTTTTGCCGCCCTGGTCCTGTTCTTCTTCTTTCTCTACCTGTCCATCATCATCTCGACCAGGCAGCAGCTCAAGACGCCGGCAAAGTCGATAGCCAAGTTGATCTGGCACAGCCTCACGGGTTGGTGGGAGGACACGGTCAGAGTGCTCAGCAGGTGGAGTGAGATGGGCGAGATGTCGATGCCCGGAGGTTGAACGCGACGATTTGCCGGTTCACGACCCTTCGTGCCGGTAGGTTGAACGCGACGATTTGCCGCCGCATCGTCATCGCGCTCTTGGCTCGTGACCCGTGGCTGCACATCAACAACGTCAACGGCTTCCGGTACCTGGGCTACGCCTGTGCTTCATCCTGGCGCCGTCTGCCGTGCTACAGGATGGTGACGCAGATGGCAATATTCCCAGTTTGATGGGAAGCTGTGGGAGGGCGACCTCGTCCTCGACAGGAACCTCAGCTTCCTCACCACTAAAGGCTGGGTAACGCTCCCGAGCATGGTCATCCTGCTCTTCCTCTCCTTCGTTCAGATCCCCGTCCTAGGCCTGCTGTACTGCTGGAATGGCGGTGGCCGCGACGGCAGATTCCCGGCCGGTTACCTGACGCTCTTGGCGATCACGTCCGTCACGTGGCTCCTCTTCCCCATCTGGTGGTTTCTGTCCTTTGAGGGCGAGGGCTACATCCAGGACACCAAACTCAACGGCGCTGGCTTCGCTCTCCTCAACATGACCAGCAAGGGTGCGTTCACGATGCAGATGCTGTCCATGGTCAAGCGGTGGAAGCGCGACTTCGGGCCGAGCAGCTTTGGGCGGCAGACCTCGGTAGACTCCGCCGTTGCGGACCTCCAGAATCTCTCGCCTCGCAGCAACAAAACCGAGAAGTCTGCGGACTGGATCATCAATGGCCTGAAGACGTTCGATCAGGGCAGCGAGAATTCGCTGGATCGGGTCCCAGGTCCGGGCCCCGAGGCGCAGGCGCCGCCACCACCCGAGAAGACGATTGTCCTCGACACGACTTGCCTGAGCGATGAGGTGCTTGTCTCGGAGCTGGCGAGGAGGATCAACCTGAGCAGCGTGGGCAACACCGACCACATCGTCGGCAAGCCCCTCGACCCCCAGGAGCTCTTCAAGCAGGCGCTGGACAAAGAGATAGCCATGGCGTGCTCGAAGTTCGCCTGTGAGGACGATGATGAGGACGACGAGGAATGAGAAGGCGGTCGGTCACACCTCGGGGCTCCGTTTGGCCAGGAACGCCACAGCGATGCCAGAAAGCCCAACCGTCAGAGACCTCTTGCAAGAGATGACAGACAGACAGAGATAACTCGAAGGCCGTGCTCCGTCACTGTGCGCAGGAATCCAGCCACGCTGCCCCGCAGACCCGCCACCGCGCCGAAAGTTGTCAACGGTGCACTGGTGGGTTCAGCGCCACCTTGGTCCTGTGAGCCAGAAACTTCGGTGGGTGTCCTCCCGGCCCAACCGTCAGAGACCTCTTGCAAGAGATGACAGACAGACAGAGATAACTAGACAGGCGAAGGCCGTGCGTGAATGTCGCAACGGTTGTACGTCACTGTGCGCAGGAATCCAGCCACGCTGCCCCGCAGACCCGCCACCGCGCCGAAAGTTGTCAACGGTGCACTGGTGGGTTCATTTTTTCTGGTGGCGCGGTCATTTAGGCCATGGCTGATCTTCCGGCAACGTCCGGATGTGAGCGCACCGCGTGCATAAAGTTGTTTACGATTTGCGTCGTTACGGCCACGGTTTCATTTTTAATGCGTGAGTGCGATCTCTTGTTTGTAGCTGAGTCCCATTTGGTTCAAACAGCACTTAGACTTTGATTCGGACAGTGGCTGACCTTCTGGCAGTCGTGTGATCAATCGAGTCTCGTTTTTGCATCGTTGATGCCTTGAGAGGAAGAGCAAACAAAAAAGACTTGTGGTCGTCTCTTGGGAGGCTCCTGGGGGAGGTTGGAGTCGGTTGCGTGTCTAGCATCCTTGAGGCTCACACGGGACATGCCGGAAGCACCCACGAGGGGCCGCCAGCGCCCAAGGGTTCCGGCGAGTTGGTCCGTGGCCAGTTTGGATCAAGGCCTTGCCTTCGTCCCAAGACTTGTGGTCGTCTCTTCCGTGGCCATGTTGGCTCAAGGCCACGTTTGGTCAAGCCGTGTTTGCTAGAGGCAGGGTTTGTCCGAGGCGGCGGACGGCCGCAGGCCTGGAAACTGGGGCGCGCGCGGCCGACATGGCCGAGCTCACCGGAGCGCAGCTGCAGCGGACCTGTGCGCCACTGTATCCGTCCTTCGCACTTGAGTCTTTTGCCGCCCTGGTCCTGTTCTTCTTCTTTCTCTACCTGTCCATCATCATCTCGACCAGGCAGCAGCTCAAGACGCCGGCAAAGTCGATAGCCAAGTTGATCTGGCACAGCCTCACGGGTTGGTGGGAGGACACGGTCAGAGTGCTCAGCAGGTGGAGTGAGATGGGCGAGATGTCGATGCCCAAGCGATTACGCTTCTGCCGGAGGTTGAACGCGACGATTTGCCGGTCGCAGGCCGTCATCGCGCTCTTGGCCGTGACCCGCTGGCTGCACATCAACAACGTCAACGGCTTCCGGTACCTGGGCTACGCCTTCACTTGCCCCTTGATGCAGGCCGAGCTCATCCTGATCCGATCGTGCCGTGCTACAATCGCATTGCCCCTCGGCGGGCCTCGGGGTACATATTGTGCTGGGTCGGGGAGCGACTGCTCCGCGAGCCTCCCCCTCCTCCTCCCCCCTACCCCTTCTCATGGCAGTCGCAGTTCTCCTAATTGTCCTCATTCTTCGTCTATGCAGTTGCAGTCGCCTGTGTCTATCGTGTCCTGGAGCAGCTGGGCTCCAACATCGGACCACATCTCCGCTCCAACGTAGCGCCTGCGAATCACATGGCGGCTCGTTGCGTTAAGCAGGAAACACCTGGTGCAACTTCTAAACTGCTTCTCTGAGCGTGCTCATCTTCTCTGTGCAGGCAATCTGGGATGGTTGCACGTTGGTGTGCATCATTGGCCGTAAACTCGCCGTCAAAGGATTCGCGTTATCGGTGGAACACTTCGAAGAGGACATGGGGCCTGCGTTGGGAGGTTATGTCTTAGGCCGCGTTGCACGCTCTGAGATCGAGTATGCAGAAGTCACATGGTCCTTCATTGAGTCTGGCTTCCATCTGGGCTGGCCCCCACGGCCTCCGACGACGGCCCAAGAGGCCCCCAGGAGAGCCCCAGAACAGCTCATTGTGGCCATCGAGGGTACCCAAGACTTGTGGTCGTCTCTTCCGTGGCCATGTTGGCTCAAGGCCACGTTTGGTCAAGCCGTGTTTGCTAGAGGCAGGGTTTGTCCGAGGCGGCGGACGGCCGCAGGCCTGGAAACTGGGGCGCGCGCGGCCGACATGGCCGAGCTCACCGGAGCGCAGCTGCAGCGGACCTGTGCGCCACTGTATCCGTCCTTCGCACTTGAGTCTTTTGCCGCCCTGGTCCTGTTCTTCTTCTTTCTCTACCTGTCATCATCATCTCGACCAGGCAGCAGCTCAAGACGCCGGCAAAGTCGATAGCCAAGTTGATCTGGCACAGCCTCACGGGTTGGTGGGAGGACACGGTCAGAGTGCTCAGCAGGTGGAGTGAGATGGGCGAGATGTCGATGCCCAAGCGATTACGCTTCTGCCGGAGGTTGAACGCGACGATTTGCCGGTCGCAGGCCGTCATCGCGCTCTTGGCCGTGACCCGCTGGCTGCACATCAACAACGTCAACGGCTTCCGGTACCTGGGCTACGCCTTCACTTGCCCCTTGATGCAGGCCGAGCTCATCCTGATCATCGCGCCGATCGTGCCGTGCTACAGGATGGTGACGCAGATGACTGCCATTATTACTTTCCTGATGCTGCTGTCTGGGTATATCGCGTCCCAGTTTGATGGGAAGCTGTGGGAGGGCGACCTCGTCCTCGACAGGAACCTCAGCTTCCTCACCACTAAAGGCTGGGTAACGCTCCCGAGCATGGTCATCCTGCTCTTCCTCTCCTTCGTTCAGATCCCCGTCCTAGGCCTGCTGTACTGCTGGAATGGCGGTGGCCGCGACGGCAGATTCCCGGCCGGTTACCTGACGCTCTTGGCGATCACGTCCGTCACGTGGCTCCTCTTCCCCATCTGGTGGTTTCTGTCCTTTGAGGGCGAGGGCTACATCCAGGACACCAAACTCAACGGCGCTGGCTTCGCTCTCCTCAACATGACCAGCAAGGGTGCGTTCACGATGCAGATGCTGTCCATGGTCAAGCGGTGGAAGCGCGACTTCGGGCCGAGCAGCTTTGGGCGGCAGACCTCGGTAGACTCCGCCGTTGCGGACCTCCAGAATCTCTCGCCTCGCAGCAACAAAACCGAGAAGTCTGCGGACTGGATCATCAATGGCCTGAAGACGTTCGATCAGGGCAGCGAGAATTCGCTGGATCGGGTCCCAGGTCCGGGCCCCGAGGCGCAGGCGCCGCCACCACCCGAGAAGACGATTGTCCTCGACACGACTTGCCTGAGCGATGAGGTGCTTGTCTCGGAGCTGGCGAGGAGGATCAACCTGAGCAGCGTGGGCAACACCGACCACATCGTCGGCAAGCCCCTCGACCCCCAGGAGCTCTTCAAGCAGGCGCTGGACAAAGAGATAGCCATGGCGTGCTCGAAGGCCTGTGAGGACTGAGGACGACGAGGAATTCGGTCACATGGCCAGGAACGCCACAGCGACCTTAGAAATCCTCCCGCGTCAGAGACCTCTTTGACCAGACAGAGTCGTGCGTGAATGTCGCAACCGTCACTGTGCGCAGGCAGCCTGCCGAGAAGCACGATTGTCCTCGACACGACTTGCCTGAGCGATGAGGTGCTTGTCTCGGAGCTGGCGAGGAGGATCAACCTGAGCAGCGTGGGCAACACCGACCACATCGTCGGCAAGCCCCTCGACCCCCAGGAGCTCTTCAAGCAGGCGCTGGACAAAGAGATAGCCATGGCGTGCTCGAAGTTCGCCTGTGAGGACGATGATGAGGACGACGAGGAATGAGAAGGCGGTCGGTCACACCTCGGGGCTCCGTTTGGCCAGGAACGCCACAGCGACCTTGGCTTAGCCAGAAACTTCGTGGGTGTCCTCCCGGCCCAACCGTCAGAGACCTCTTGCAAGAGATGACAGACAGACAGAGATAACTAGACAGGCGAAGGCCGTGCGTGAATGTCGCAACGGTTGTACGTCACTGTGCGCAGGAATCCAGCCACGCTGCCCCGCAGACCCGCCACCGCGCCGAAAGTTGTCAACGGTGCACTGGTGGGTTCATTTTTTCTGGTGGCGCGGTCATTTAGGCCATGGCTGATCTTCCGGCAACGTCCGGATGTGAGCGCACCGCGTGCATAAAGTTGTTTACGATTTGCGTCGTTACGGCCACGGTTTCATTTTTAATGCGTGAGTGCGATCTCTTGTTTGTAGCTGAGTCCCATTTGGTTCAAACAGCACTTAGACTTTGATTCGGACAGTGGCTGACCTTCTGGCAGTCGTGTGATCAATCGAGTCTCGTTTTTGCATCGTTGATGCCTTGAGAGGAAGAGCAAACAAAAAAGACTTGTGGTCGTCTCTTGGGAGGCTCCTGGGGGAGGTTGGAGTCGGTTGCGTGTCTAGCATCCTTGAGGCTCACACGGGACATGCCGGAAGCACCCACGAGGGGCCGCCAGCGCCCAAGGGTTCCGGCGAGTTGGTCCGTGGCCAGTTTGGATCAAGGCCTTGCCTTCGTCCCAAGACTTGTGGTCGTCTCTTCCGTGGCCATGTTGGCTCAAGGCCACGTTTGGTCAAGCCGTGTTTGCTAGAGGCAGGGTTTGTCCGAGGCGGCGGACGGCCGCAGGCCTGGAAACTGGGGCGCGCGCGGCCGACATGGCCGAGCTCACCGGAGCGCAGCTGCAGCGGACCTGTGCGCCACTGTATCCGTCCTTCGCACTTGAGTCTTTTGCCGCCCTGGTCCTGTTCTTCTTCTTTCTCTACCTGTCCATCATCATCTCGACCAGGCAGCAGCTCAAGACGCCGGCAAAGTCGATAGCCAAGTTGATCTGGCACAGCCTCACGGGTTGGTGGGAGGACACGGTCAGAGTGCTCAGCAGGTGGAGTGAGATGGGCGAGATGTCGATGCCCAAGCGATTACGCTTCTGCCGGAGGTTGAACGCGACGATTTGCCGGTCGCAGGCCGTCATCGCGCTCTTGGCCGTGACCCGCTGGCTGCACATCAACAACGTCAACGGCTTCCGGTACCTGGGCTACGCCTTCACTTGCCCCTTGATGCAGGCCGAGCTCATCCTGATCATCGCGCCGATCGTGCCGTGCTACAGGATGGTGACGCAGATGACTGCCATTATTACTTTCCTGATGCTGCTGTCTGGGTATATCGCGTCCCAGTTTGATGGGAAGCTGTGGGAGGGCGACCTCGTCCTCGACAGGAACCTCAGCTTCCTCACCACTAAAGGCTGGGTAACGCTCCCGAGCATGGTCATCCTGCTCTTCCTCTCCTTCGTTCAGATCCCCGTCCTAGGCCTGCTGTACTGCTGGAATGGCGGTGGCCGCGACGGCAGATTCCCGGCCGGTTACCTGACGCTCTTGGCGATCACGTCCGTCACGTGGCTCCTCTTCCCCATCTGGTGGTTTCTGTCCTTTGAGGGCGAGGGCTACATCCAGGACACCAAACTCAACGGCGCTGGCTTCGCTCTCCTCAACATGACCAGCAAGGGAGCGTTCACGATGCAGATGCTGTCCATGGTCAAGCGGTGGAAGCGCGACTTCGGGCCGAGCAGCTTTGGGCGGCAGACCTCGGTAGACTCCGCCGTTGCGGACCTCCAGAATCTCTCGCCTCGCAGCAACAAAACCGAGAAGTCTGCGGACTGGATCATCAATGGCCTGAAGACATTCGATCAGGGCAGCGAGAATTCGCTGGATCGGGTCCCAGGTCTGGGCCCCGAGGCGCAGGCGCCGCCACCACCCGAGAAGACGATTGTCCTCGACACGACTTGCCTGAGCGATGAGGTGCTTGTCTCGGAGCTGGCGAGGAGGATCAACCTGAGCAGCGTGGGCAACACCGACCACATCGTCGGCAAGCCCCTCGACCCCCAGGAGCTCTTCAAGCAGGCGCTGGACAAAGAGATAGCCATGGCGTGCTCGAAGTTCGTCTGTGAGGACGACGACGATGAGGACGACGAGGAATGAGAAGGCGGTCGGTCACACCTCGGGGCTCCGTTTGGCCAGGAACGCCACAGCGACCTTGGCCGAGCCAGAAACTTCGTGGGTGTCCTCCCAGCCCAACCGTCAGAGACCTCCTGCAAGAGATGACAGACAGACAGAGATAACTAGACAGGCGAAGGTCGTGCGTAGGAATCCAGCCACGCTGCCCCGCAGACCCGCCACCGCGCCGAAAGTTGTCAACGGTGCACTGGTGGGTTCATTTTTTCTGGTGGCGCGGTCATTTAGGCCATGGCTGATCTTCCAGCAACGTCTTGACGTGAGCGCACCGCGTGCATACAGTTTTTTAAGATTTGCGTCGTCACGGCTACGTTGTAATTTTTAACGCGTCAGTGCGATCTCTTGTTTATAGCTGAGTCCCATTTGATTCAAACAAGGCTTAGACTTTGATTCGGACAGTGGCTGACCTTTTGGCAGTCGTGTGATCAATCGAGTCTCGTTTTTGCATCGTTGATGCCTTTAGAGGAAGAGCAGAAAACTTGTGGTCGTCTCTTGGGAAGCTCCTGGGGGAGGTTGGAGTCGGTTGCGTGTCTAGCATCCTTGAGGCTCACACGGGACATGCCGGAAGCACCCACGAGGGGCCGCCAGCGCCCAAGGGTTCCGGCGAGTTGGTCCGTAGCCATTTTGGATCAAGGCGTTGCCTTCGTCCCAAAGGTGTCCGTGACTTCGTCTCAAGGGTACAGCATCTATCTTAGCTGTCACAATTCTCACAAGACGTTACCTCCGCAGCTCAGTTCCGAGGTGCGCCTGATGATGTCTTTGCTACGCTTCGTAGTAGCACTCCTCGGCAAGTCCCCGATATTGTACGCATCGGGGTACCGCTGCCCGTGCGTTCCGTGTTGGCCAGACGAGTCTGCGTGGAGTCCGCGGTTTTCAATACAAAATGTGAGACAGTATCAGGCGGGATCCGTTGTTGTCATGGTTCGGGGGCCAGAGGCCCAGTTTGAGCTTCAAGATGTTCCTTGACAGAAAACAGACTGCGAGTCCCGGGAGGAGCACATCAATTGGAAAGATAAAATGGGCGCGGGAGGGGGGTCAACAATGATTCTGCTTCAGAAGTGAGAGTTCAACAGCAACAATACTTATCTTAAGACTGGTCGCTCTTACCTGCTCGCATGCCGTTCAACACGTATTTCCCAAACCCTCGGTACTCGCCATATTCGTCTTCGATCGTACCCTCCTTGGGGGTATGTCTTCCCAACTTGCCGCGTGTAGTTGGCGCAAACCCCAAAACCGGGGAAGACAGGACGGATGGAAAGGGGAGGGAAAAGGATGGAGCACGAGAGAGATCCTCAGGAGGGGGGCTAGGACCAGAGAACACGTGGCAGAACCAGACGGGTAAACTGGGCGGGTATACCTTGCTGGGCGGGTCTGGAAATCCGGGCCCACGCGGCCTGGCCGAGCAGACTGGTTGCCGAAGCGTGAGCATGAATCGCGAGGAAGTTCTCGAGCGATAGCGCAATTCCCGAGTATATTGTCAGAAAGGCCAGTGCGACAGCGTGATTCCTGGGGGTTGAAGGCGCGACGCCTGAATAACTTTCGAGGAAGTCCCACGCGAGAGCGCGATTCCTGAACACATTATGAGAAAGTCCCGCGCGAGAGCGCGTATTTGAAATAAAGTGTGAGGACGTATCAGGCGGGAGTCGTTGTTGTTGTATTTCGGGGACCAGGGTCCCAGTTTTGTGTCCCCACGCTTTCTCTTGTCAGAGTGCGAGCACCGAGAGGAACACTTTCGTTGAAAACACGATGTGCCCCGAAGGGGGATCAACAATAGTTATTATTGGGAATTTCGACTTCAACAGCAATAACGATACCACCAACAACAGCAACAATCCAAATCGGAACCTCACTTCAGCCAGGCGCCCAGTTACAGTGAATTATGGTTTGGCCCTCTCACTCTAAATTGGCACGATGGACCCGCGACGGCCCTCCCTTCCAGAACTCGATGATGCCCTGCTCCAGGCGATACCCGCCAAAATCTGGCATGGGCACATCTGGCACGCCTGTCTTGGCCACACCTTCTGGCACTGCTGCCTTTCACGTCAGAGTTCCGTAAAAGTGAATTTCCGGAGTTCCGTCCGGATTGTTTGGAAGCGCTCCCAGCGCGGACCTACGAATTCGCGCGGATGTTCGACAGTCTGTGTTGATGCCGCATTTTGCTCCTTCAGCGGCGAGCTCATCTACTTGCATTCAGTTGCCGCCTGTCTGGTCCTGCGTGCTGCACTGTGCTGCATCACGCGGGTTGGCCCGATCTTGCTGCACAGCGTGCGCAGACATCCGTAGCCGTTTCGGTCCAGTGGGGGGCACGCCAGAGCACAGCGCGCCCTCGTGAGCACAGGTATCACTGAAACGCTCGTCTGCGGATCTCTGGGCGCTGAGTTTCTTGGGGCTTGGGGCTTCCCCCGTCCCAGTGCCGTGCAGTCACGCTGGCAGGGCGAGCTCCCGTCACCATGCCCCCGGCATGGCCGCCCGCTGCCTGGCGGCAGAGCTGCCGGGCAGGAGCCCGGCCGATCCTGCAGCTGACGAGGAGCCGAAGCTGTGCGTGGCTCCCGGGCTGCTGCACGCATCGTCTCGCAGGCACTGTATCGTTTAACCGATCCGCATCCCCAATCAGAGCGTACCTTTTGGAAGCGAGGGTGGTCAAAAGCGAGGTAGGTTTGTTTGCCCCCTACCCAACCCCATCCCCATCGAGGCCCCGGGCATCCTTGCACCCCAGTTGGGGACGCACACCTCGAAACCCGAAGGGAACGGCCTATATCCCCATCCAGGGTGTCCATCGGCCATTGGGGCCCAGGCCACGTCCATGGGGAGATAGGGGTCGGTTGAACGATGCCCAGGCATGGGTCCAAGGCGCCCGCAGCTAGCAAAGGGCAGGCTTCCCTCGCTGGGCTCGGTGCCGATGTTCCATGCCGCTGCGCACGCCAGCCTGGCATCTCGAGGTCTGGAGGGTCTGGGGGGAGCCGAGGGGGGAGATGTGAGCCAGATGCGGCGCGAATTCAGCGCGGAAGGTCTGGAAGAAGCGGCCATGCCTCGAAGAAGACACCTTTCGCATACGCATAACCTGCCGGAGGTCCGCGCGGACCTCGTGGACAGGCGCTGGGCCCCCCTCCCCGGCGCGCGGAGCGCGCCGGGGGCGGCGCCCGAGGCGCCGCCGTGGGAGCCGACAGTCGGGGCCCTGAAGAAGGAACCCTTTTGGTTGGGGAGGGGCTCCGCGTTCAGTTTCACAGCTTGCCTCAGGTTTCCCTGATGTTTTCGATCGGAAATCGAAGTTTAACTTATGGAAGAAAAAGGGGCCTCGTTCCTTATTGAGGGTAACGCCCCGACTGTAGCTCCGATCCACGATACGGTCGACCCGCACAGTAAGGATGGGCAACCTTCCCAAGGGTACCCGTGCATCCTTCCCTCCTCGGCCCAGCTTGGGCCACCTGCGTCGGCCGCGCCCCGCTCGAAGGAGCTCCGAGAGGGGCGACCCAAGGGCCCTGCCTCCCCCTCGTGCGTCCTTCTGGTAGGAGTCGGCCGTCGCCTGCGCGGGCCTCCAGGAGAGGGCATGCTCGGGCCGAGAGGGCTCTTCTTCCGGCGGTGCCCGCAGCGCCCCTGGCCTTCTTCCGGACCTGGTTCGACGAGGCCGTCAGGGCCGAGGTTCACGAGCCCAACGCCATGTGCCTCAGCACCGTGAGCTCGGGCACGGGCAGGCCGTCCGCGCGCATCGTGCTGCTGAAGGGCTTCGACGAGCGCGGCTTCGTGTGGTACACGAACTACGGCTCGCGCAAGGCTCGAGGCCAGACAGAGACAACTGCACAGTGCCGTTTTTTAGTACATGCTCCGCGTGCGGACCATGTATTAAAAAATGCAGGGATCTAGTATTAAAAGCAACGATGAGTTCATGCATACATTAATTCATACATTAATCATGTATTTACAATCCCATATGTTTAAAACATCCCATCTATGAAAAACTGCCCTGTGCCACCACTGTTCGGGCCGCGCGGCGTTCTCGCCTCTGCGCTGGTCCTCGCCGGCGCCGCCCAACGGCGCCGCCCAGCGGCGCGCTCCGCGCCCCCAGACGGGTGGGGGGGGGGACCCAGCGCCGATCCAAAAGCCCTTCGCGCTGAGGTTCGGAGGCTTTGTGTGTTTTGTTTCTGGTCGCGTTTGGCCAGCAAGGAGCACAGAAGCGTCCATCCTCCTCCTCCTCCTCCTCCTCCTCCTCCTCCTCCTCCTCCTCCTCCTCCTCCTCCTCCTCCTCCCCCGCCTCCTCCTCCTCCTCCTCTCCTCCTGCCCCCAGGGGGGACGGGGAGCCCCAGGCCGTCCAGTTCGGCGGCGGCCTGGCAGCCGTTCCGCCTGCGACGTTTTCTCACAGCTCCTCCAGGAGCCGTGGCCTCGCCCCACTGCCGGCTAATTACATGTTTGGTCCGGGCGGTCACGATTCTGAGGTGCACATGGCCATGCTCTTTGTGGGCCCCGGAAACGGCAGGGCCGTTTTTTCACCGTTTCCAAAAAAATGTACATTGAAAATGGAAACGGCAAAAAAACTGCAACCGGAAACGGCAAAAAAACGGCTCCAGGATTGGAACAGGAGCCGGAACCGGTCAAACAACGGCGACTGAACCGGAAGAAAAATGGCGTTGGAACCGGTAAAAAAACGGCAAAACGGAACCAGTAAAAAAATGGCCCTGTCGTTTCCAGGGCCCACTAAGCTCTTGCCCCATGTACCCTGCAGCTGACCTCTTACTCCGCGGATCGCCGCCTCTCCTCTGTTGCTGTTCGTGTGCCGTGCTGTGGCAACTCTGTTCTTTTCGTCTGCCGAGAGGCGCAGGAGCTGGACTGCACGCCATTCGCTTCGCTCACCTTCTGGTGGGGGCCGCTAGACCGCTGCGTGCGCGTCGAGGGCCGCGTGGCGCGCGTGCCCCAGGAGGAGAGCGAGGCCTACTTCCGCAGCCGCCCGCGCTCCAGCCAGCTCGGCGCGCTGGTGTCCGAGCAGTCGCGGCCTGTGGAGCCCGGCGTGCTCGATATGCGCATGGAGACGCTCAGGCATCGAATCGGCGACGGGCAAGGCACTGAAGTAAGGACCACCTCGGGGTCAGGAGCGGCTCTGGTGCTCTGGCGGTTCCTTAGGTCTAGATCCGGGAAGCTATTCGTGGCCGAGCCTCGCCGTGGCAAGAAAGGCCTCTTCGTTCCTTGTTGCACGTCCCTGAGGGCAGCACAGTGACTGCACACGTGAGGGGTAGGACGCAACCCCTGGGAGGTTTTATTTTCATTCGGCGCTGGCGTATCCCTGTTCGAAATCTTGCCGGCTCTGGCTGCTCCATCCCTGCTAGTCTGGCTTCATTCCGCTCAATCCAGCACGGTCCTGGCTTAAATCTGGGCTTCATCTGGCCTAATCCGACTCAGTGGTCCCTTAGTCGGGCTCGATAGCCTTTACCAATCTCTCTGACGAAGACCTCCGAGAAGGTGCCTCCTAGGTAAGAGTGACCCTTCGCCGGAGTGACCTTTGGTGCGAGCCCACCGGGTTCTTCCCGATCGCTAAGCGCCGAGGTGCTAGCAGCGGCTTGCGGCTTGTGCGCTTGGGCTGGGTCCCTTCGTGCCTCACTTAAGCTGTGCACCAGAGGTCACCCTTGCCCAGGGTCTCTCTTGCGTGTAGCCGATGGATGAAAAAAAAAGCGGCACAACCGCGAACTATCGGAGCTCAGCGCGGATTTTTCGGATTGGTGCTGGGCCCCCCCTGGCGGCGCCTCCTGCGCCGCCCCTGGCGCGCTCGGCGTGCCAGGGGCGGGGGGCCCAGTGCCGACCCGAGGAATGCGCGGGAAGCTCTGGCAGTTTCTGCGCACGCCGTGTTTTTATTGTTTTTCCCAGGCAGCAGTACATGCCCGATGGTGTGGCCGAGGCAGATTTGCCAGAGGTGCCCATGCCCGATTGGGGCGGGTATCGACTGGAGCCGGACGTCGTCGAGTTTTGGAAGGGAAGGCCGTCGCGGGTCCATGATCGTCTCGTGTACACCCGACCTCTGGATGGAGCACAGTCGGAATGGAAGAAGGAGCGGCTGCAACCCTGAGATCGGGTGACGATGCTCAAGCACGGCAGCCTGAATTCGACGATAACGCTTGACGCAGAAGAGGGTGGTAGAGACGGAGGGTGGCGAGGAACAGGCCTCATCCTCATCCTCATCCTTCCCTCACCCCTTAGAGGTGAGAGAGGGGGGGCGGCGGCGGTGAAGCATCAAGAGACTGAACAGAAAAAGAGCGAGAAGAGACAGGACGAGGTGATGAGGATGGCAGCCGCAGAAACACAAGGCGAGGCACGACGATCGGGAGGAGGAGGGAGGAGGAGCAGCGCCAGCGGCCGTTTCTTCTGGTGCTCCTCCTCGTCCCTTCCTCGCCACCGTCCTCGTCCGTGTCCTCGTCATCATTCTCGTTCCTCGCCATCGTCCTTGTCCCGCTCGTCCTCCTCCCTCTCTGGCTCTCCTCCCCCCTCCCTCTCTGCAGTTTCTGGCACAACCTGGGAGGTGGCCCCCGCGGGGATCCCGACGCGGAACCACTTAGCGCAGGGCCTCGATCGTCTCCCATGGAGGAGCCACCACAAAAGAAGCTCAAGGTGGGCGAGCTCGACAAGCTCCTCGCCCACTTGAACGAGCACTCCCCCGCCATCCGCTCCACACTGAGGGCGGTTGCCAAGGCGGAGCACAACTCCGCCGGGCAGGGCCCATGCGAGAGGACCTCGCACGAGAGGGGTGTCAAGAGCTACTGCCGAGACGCGCGTGCAAGAGCCAAGGACGCAGGCGTGGCTCAAGGGGAGCGCGGCCCCAGGGCAAACTACGCTTCACGACTATGGGGAGAGCGAAGCCGTGGGCACGAGCACCAAGGATGAGGAAGCAGGAGGAGGCCCGGGGATCGGGCGCCGCGTGGCGGCGGCGGCGGCGGGGGGCCGCTCCCCTGCAAAGCAGCGGTGAGAGGGCTGCGGCAAGGAGGATGCCCCCATGCAGGCAGCGGAAAGGGGGAGTGCGCCCAGCACCAGTGGTGCCAGCCGTGTTGAGCCGCGTGGTCAGCGCCGAAGTCTTCTCCGAAGGCGGCGCCCGAGCCCCCGACCCGAGGCGAGTCACCCTGAGCAGATGTGGGGCCGCGAGCACTGCAGGAGGACGCCGTGAGGTGCCCCCGCCGCAGCAGGGAGCAGATCCCAGCAGTGCCCAGGCGCGGGGCATGCGGAGGTTTGGGGGGTCGCCCTCCTCGCCCAGCAGGGGGGGCCCTCTGGAGCCGAGGCCGTGCGCGGCGCGCGCTGGCTCAGCGTCTCCGCAACCCCCGGCCGCCCCAAGGCCCTGCGCCAGCTGCCGAGGGGGCAGAGCGGGGCTGTGCTGAGTGGTCCACGCTTCCCGGAGCTCGGGCGGCTCGGGGGAGGCAGCGGGGCCGGAGGGGGTCCCGTCGGGACAACGTCGACTACACGTAAGAGTGACCCTTCGCCGGAGTGACCTTTGGTGCGGGCACGTTGGGGTCCCCGATCGCCGAACGCGAGGCGGCGGTGGCGTCTTGCCCGCTTGTGTTTGGCCCCCCCCCCGCGGCCCCCAAAAAGCCGCGCACCAAAGGTCACTCTTACCCAGGGTCACTTTTACGTGTAGCCGACAACGGGGAAGCGAAGCGCTATAATAGGTGGACCCAGCTGCTGCCGACGGGCGCAGTCCCCTCTGAGCGCCGTCGTGTTTTGCTGGGCGGTGCCCTGACCCACTGGGAAGTGTTTGTCCACCCCAACCTCCATGAGGTCCCACATCCTCCAGAGCGTGCAACCGAAGGTGACCTTTTTTTATCAAGTTCGGCACCGAGATGGGGTCGATGGCCGTCTGGCTCAGCAAGGGATCTGGGTCCTCATCGCCGCGCCCCCCCCAAAAAAAGCGGGAGATGCTCCTCCAGAGAGTGCTTGCGTGGACGGAGCCGTGCACCAACGAGCAGCCGCCGACGCAGGTAAGCTGGGCCCCACCCCTGCCGCCAGTAGATTGGCACCCGTAGGTTGTTCCACTGGGAGTTTTGCTGGGCGCCTGGGGGGGGGGGCCCGCCCAGCCGAGGGCTATTGTGGTATTTTGCTAGCGTCCAGGGCGCGTGGCTGCCGCTGCCGACGCAGGAGACTAACCTTTTTTTTGTTCCTCACTCCACCCCTTTTCTCTCTCCCTCCCCCATGGTCCCTCGTGGGGAGGTATTCGGCGAAACGCCGGGCCAGAACCTAAAGACACGTCTGGGGGTGCGGACGGGGGGAGCCTTCACAGGGAAAATATATGGAGGAGGCGGAGGAGAAGGAGGAAGGGAGGAGCAGGAGGAGGTGCAGGAAGGGAGGAACATCTACTGCGGAGGAGGAGGGGGGAGGAGAAGCAGAGAGGAAGAGGAAAAGGAGGATAAGGATTATGATGATGCTGATGATGCTGATGCTAATGATGATGACGATGGTGCTCATGCTGATGCTGATGCTGATGCTGATGCTGATGCTGATGCTGATGCTGACGATGAGTGGGAGAAGGAGGAGGAGGACGAGGAGGATGACGAGGAGGAGCGATGAGAGAGCAGGAGGAGAACGAGGAGGAGGAGGACGAGGAGGAGGACGAGGAGGACGAGGAGGAGGAGGACGAGGGGGAGTTGTTTATAAGGAGGAAATCTGGAGGAGGGGGAGGAGCAGCAGGGGCTGCAGCGGGAGGGTGCCCCCCCCTCCCGCCCGCCAAGCAGGGCGACACCCGCACGCTGCAGCACGGCGACGCCGTCTCCGTTTGCACGCATCCCCGCGACGCGAGGACCGAGCCGGGTCGCCGCTACGGGAGGATCAGGGGGAGGACGGCACGAGGAGCGAGGAGAGGAGCAGCGAGAAGGGAGGACGGAGGAACAGGAGGAGGAGGCAGAGGAGGAGCAGGAGGAGGCGGAGGAGGAGGAGGAGGAGGAGGAGGAGGAGGAGAAGGAGGAGGGGCAGCAGGAGGAGGAGCGAGGAGCGAGAATCGAGGATCGAAGAGCGAGGAGGGAAGGGGAGACGGGACGAGGAGGGGAGGTGCATGGAGGGAGGGGTGAGGAGGAGGAGGAGGAGTAGGAGGAGGAGGAGGAGCAACAGGAGGAGGAGGAGGGCCAGTGTAAACCCAACACCCATCAACGATGTTGCAATGAACCCTCGCTCCAAGCTTCCTCCTCATAGGTTCCTGTAAGTATTGTCTCTTCGGGATCCTTCGAAACACAACCGTTTGAACACCATCAGCCGTGTCAAACAACCAGTCCTGGTAGTCCAACGCCGCGGATCAACGTCACCGTTGCGACCTGACCACCCCAGATCGTGCCAGGATATCTCGCAAGAACCCTCATCCTTGCAGGCTTTTATGACGAACGTGCGCGGCACAGCCGCTAATGCAAGAGTCGCATCTCGAACACGACCCGCCCTCCATCCGTCAAGCTGCTGCACAACGGCAAGACGAATGTGCGTGGCGCCAAGTCGAGAGCCACATATTGAAAACTGATCGCCATCTATCCGTGAAGCTCTTGGATACGTTTAAGACGAGAGCGCGCGGCGCCCAGGCGATAACCACATTTTGAAAGGAACCGCCATCCATCTGTGAGCCTCTTGACATGTTTTAAAGCGAATTGTGCGCGGCAGTAAGGCCTCAATAAAAAACCGTCCGCCCTCCATCCGTGAAGTTGCTGCAAGCTGTCAAGGCGAATGCGCGCGGCGCTAACGTGGGAGCTTCCGTCTTGAAGACGGCCCGCCCTCCATCCGTGAAGTTGTTGCGTTCTTGTATAACACGCATGTGCGCGGCACTGAGGCGGGAGCTGCGTGTCGAGGTTGTTGCAATTCTGTTGTAAACTGAGACGGCCAGCCTTCCACCCCCGAGTTTGTTGCAATTCTGAAGCTCCAGCATTCTCACAGGCGGGAGCGTATCAGGCGAAGCGCCCGGCCCGCCCTGCCGACACGCCTCGGGGAACGACAGGGAAGAATTGTTGGTTCCAGGAGAAGGAAATGTGGAACAGGAGGAGGACGAGGAGGGGGAGGGGAGGAGGAGGAGGTGGAGATGATGGAGGAGGAGGAGGAAGAGGACGAGAGAGGGGGAGGAGGAGGAGGAGGAGGAGGAGAGAGACGGAGGGAAAGGAGGAGGAGGAGCAGGAGGAAGAAGAGAAAGAGGAAGAGGAGGAGGAGGAGGAGGAGGAGGAGGAGGAGGAGCGATGAGAGAGGAGGAGGAAGAGGAGGAGGACGAGGGAGGAGGGTGAGGAAGGAGGGGGGGGGAGGAAGATGAGGGAGGGCTCAATGTTGTCTTCTTTTGCTTGGTCGCATGTTGGGGCCTCTCGGGGCCGTCTTGTGGCTTCCTGGTGGCCTCGTGGAGCCGTGTCGGGCCGTTTAGGGAGATATTCGGAGCCTATTGGGTTCTCTCGGTAGCCGTTTGGATCTATCCACAGTAATGTTTCCCAGTCGTAACATGTACGGGTCGATGAGTGGATGGGTGGGTCCATGGGTGCTTGCGAGAAGAACGGATCAATGATTCATAAGCGGCCAAACGGATGAATTTCCGATGTGGTTCGATCGATGTGCGTTTTTAGGATTGTTCGAACTTTGGATGGAGGCACAGGTCAATGCCTCGATGCTTTGATGCATGAAAGTGACTTTGAGTTGGCTGTTGAATCGATGGACGGATATTTGTTTGAGAGGCAGAGTTGAAGCGTGCTAGAAGCTAAGCGCGCGCGGCGCACCTGGCTCTCGCACATGATGCCAGCGCCTTGGCCCCGAAGAGTAAGCTGATGTGCAGGCGGCGTGGCGCAATGCACAGCACCGCAACGACATGCGACGCAAAGTCCTAGATCGAGCCAGCGAGCCAGAGGGCACCAAGCCTGGGCCTTCGAGCAGGAACGGTCCGCTGCAGCACGTCGGGAGTCGCATTGGGCACAGGCCAGACTCAAGCAGTGGCGAAGCGTCCTGGCTCGCCTGTGGAGCCACCAAAACTTGTCTAAGAACCTTTAGTGCTCTGCACGGAGTGCTCTTCGAGCATTTCTGCCTGGACTGCCTTGTTTTTATCACATCGGGTGTCTGTTCTAAGAATGTCGTTGATGTTCTTGGAACCTTTTTGTGGTTTTAGCCTTGGCACGACATGTTCTTGGAACCTTCGAAGCGCCGCCGATTAAAACAAAACGTTCGCGTGTGTGCGTGCGTGTGTGTGTGTGTGCATGTGTGCGTGTACGTGTGTGCATGCGTGTGTGTGTGTGTGTGTGTGTGTGTGTGTGTGTGTGTGTGTGTGTGTGCGTGCGTGCGTGCGTGCGTGCGTGCGTGCGTGCGTGTGTGTGTGTGTGTGTGTGTGTGCTTCTGCGCGCGTGCGTGCGTGCGTGCGTGCGTGTGTGTGTGTGTGTGTGTGTGTGTGTGTGCAGTTTGGTCGGCCCCTCTTTGGCTTGTCGTGGTAGGCCGTAACGGATGCCAGGACGGCGGTCGGCCCCTGCTCCACAGAGGGCGCCGAGCCAGGCCGCCGCCAGGGCCTAACCACATATGGCAGCGGCCGGGGGCGGCCGCCCACGGAGAGCCGCAAAAGGCACCGAACAGAGGGCACCGAGCCAGGGAAGAATTGCAGGGTTACGTCTGGCATGTCCCCCTGCAGGAGGAATACTCAAACGTAGTCAAAACACATAATATGGGGACGATTTTCTTGTTTACCATTGTTAGGCTAACTATTGGGGGGCATGGTTGATTACGTGCCTTTAAGTTTTCGCCCAACATCCGCCTGTAGGGGGACATGCCCGACTGCATTGTAGGGCATCGATTTGTTTTACTATTGTAAGGCTATTTGGGGGCATGTTTTTTTACATATCTCCAGTTGTTCGCCCCAAATCCGCCTGCAGGGGGACATGCCCGACTGAGTTGTAGGGCGTCGAGCGAACAGGGCCACGCCACGGGGCACCGACAGGGAACGGGCGATTGCGGCTACCATGTCATTGGTCACCGAAAGGGAACCTGGCGGCAACGATCGGAGCCGTCGACGTTGGCATCCTGATCCAGTTCTTCGCAGCCCAGGTGAGGACCTATGTGCAGTCATTGTTTGAGGTATGTTGGTGTCGGTACGTGCTTGTTTTACGCATGGGTACGTGCGTATGAGAGGGATGCAGAGAATCAGAAGGGAACAAGAGAGAGGAACAGACACATATCAAGAGAGACAGAGAGAAAGATACTCAAAAAGAAGAGAGAGAGAGAGAGAGGGAGAGAGAGCGATTAGGTGGAGCAGGAGGAGAGGGAGGAGGAACCGAGAGGACGGCGACGTGGATGAAGCAGCAGGGAGACAGCATGCACTCAGGGGATCCACAGGCGTACTGAGGTTTCTGAGTGGTTCTGGAGGGTCCACGGATGCAGGCGGGGAGGATGGTGGGGATGACGGGCAGGTGTTTCGCGGCCAGGGTCGCGGGTGGGTCGCCGGGGGATCGCGGGTAGACAGATCGCGGGTCGTGGGTCGAGACGACGACAGGACAAGACGCTACTAGAAAACATAAACAACCGCAGAACCTCAAATCAGCCTCGCACCCACGGACGAGACCGATCGCCCAAGTCATTCTGACCTAGCTCGGGAGCTTCTCATTGACGACGTTTGCAACATGCCAAACTGACTTACGGACCTGGGTATCGTGGAATGGAGGGAGGGAGGGGGCAACATGGGGGGCGGAAGACGGGACGGGATTAGGACTGGCAAGAAGGGTGAGGCCATCTCAGAGTGTCTATCGCCGGCAGCGGCGTGAGCGTGTGATACCACGGGCGAGAGTGGCGTGCCGACGTGCGTGCTGCGCATCAGTCTGTTCGTTCCGCACTC